ATGAAACCCGTAAAACCCGGCAATGCTATACATAGATCCCGATGCAACTGTCGCAGAGCAGGCACCGCCGCAGGGAGAGGCACTCCTTGCTCATCCAGTTCAGTGTGCAATGGCTCCCAAGCGAAGTGGCCAAAGAGCGACGTCAGGTACATGACGTGGTGAGTGGGCTTCGCAATGACCTTCTGAAACCATAGAAGCCGTCGTTGACGCAAGGTGGACTCAATGGTAGGGAGGTCCGCCTTTTTTCGCAAGCTGTGACTTGGCACCGACTGGTGTTCAGACGAACCAGCCACGGCCCCCCATCCAGCACGCCCAAAGATGCGCCGCATCAGAAGATCACGAGCAATTTCCAGGCGATCAAGATCTGTCTGCGTGAGTACGTAGGACTCCAAGCCCGCTAAACCTGCTGAACTAACCACCGCCTTAAAGAAAATCCGCTTGATCCGGAAGGGAACCCTGCTGCAACTCCACAATCCATGGAAGGCATAGAAACCTGTACGCATGGCATCAATGTGCTTGGTAACATCATCACTATGTGTCCCGTTGGTTTGGAGCCAAGCTCCTAAATGCCTGGCACAAGCGGGCATAGAGCCAGCCGTGAGGTCTTCAAGCTGTTGCGCTCGCTGTTCCAGACCGCGCGCACCCTTGCCACACCACTTCATGAGCAAAACTTCTTTGGCAGGCTCCAAACTACCTCCAATGTCTGCAAGGCGAGCATTGAGGATGGACGAGTTCACGGCTAGCCGGGCAGCAAGGTCCTCGACAGTGTCTGCGATCATGAGCTCTGCCACGTCGTCCACATACGTGGTCACACACACACACACCCACACACACCCACACACACCCACACACACCCACACACACACACACACCCACACACACCCACACACACACACACACCCACACCCACACCCACACCCACACCCACACCCACACCCACACCCACACCCACACCCACACCCCACACCCACACCCACACCCACACCCACACCCACACCCACACCCACACCCACACCCACACCCACACCCACACCCACACCCACACCACCCACACCCACACCCACACCCACACCCACACCCACACCCACACCCACTAGCCGGTGCAGCGGAAGGTACGTTTGCGCTGGGACTGAAGCCAGAAGGCACCCTGAACGGTGACCTGGAGTCCAGCGAGCTGGAGAACGACGAGGACCTCTGCCTCCTCAGCTTGCAGGACCAGACGCAGCTCGACCCACACCCACACGCACACGCACACGCCACACCCACGCCCACGCCCACGCACGCCCACGCCACACGCCACACGCCACACGCCACACGCCACACGCCACACGCCACGCCACACGCCACACGCCACCCGCCACCCGCCACCCGCCACACGCCATCCGCCACCCCCACCCGCTGTGACCCGCCGCCATGCACCTGCCACCACCCGCCACCCGCCGCCACCCGCCGCCACCGCCGCCACCCGCCGCCACCCGCCGCCACCCGCCGCCACCCGCCGCCAGCCACGGCCACCACCACCCCCACCGCCGCCACCCCCCACCCCGCCGCCGCCCGCCGCCCCGCCGTGCGCCCGCCTGCCGCCGGCTCCACCCCGCCGCCACAGCGGCCTATCACCGCGACAAAACCCCGCCACCCTCCGCCCCCCCGCCGCTACCCGCCCGCCACCCGCCACCCCACCGCACCCGCCACCCGCCGCCCGCCACCCGCCGCCCAGCCACCCGCCACCCTCGCCACCCGCCACCCCCGCACCCGCCACCCAGCCCCCACCCGCCACCCGCCACCCCGCCGCCACCCCCACCCGCCAACCCTCCATCACCCGCCACCCCGCCACAAAACCCGCCACCCGCACCCTCCACCCGCCACACCGCCGCCACCCGCCCGCCCGCCCGCGCCCGCCCGCGCCCGGGGGCTGGCCCTCGCCCGCCCGCGCCCGCGCGCCCGCCCCGCTCGCCCAGCTCCCAAGCACGCCCGCCCGCGCCCGCCCTCGTCCCGCCCGCCGCGCCCCGCACGCTGCCCCGCACGCCTTCCGCGCCCGCGCGCGCCCAGCGCGGCCCGCCCGCCCGCGCCCGCCCCGCCGCGCCCGCGCGCCCGCTCCAGCCCGCCCCCGCGCGCCGCAACGCCCGTACGCGCCCGCCGCCCGCGCCCGCAGCTGCGCCCGCGTTCGCGCGCCCGCCCCCGGCCGCCCCCGCGCCCGCCCCCCGCCGCGCGCCCGCGCCCACTGGGCCCGCGCCCGCCACGCGCCCTCGCCCAGCGCACGGACGGCGCACGCGCAGCACGCGCACAGCGCACGCGCACGGCACAGTGGCGCACGGCGCACGCGCAACGCGCACGCGCACGCGCACGCGCAGTGCGCATGCGCACGGGCGACTGCGCACGCGCCTACGCGCACACGCATGCACACGCACACGCACACGCACGCACTTCACGGCCCCCACACACACACACACATGAGACCAGAGACACAGAGACACAGAGACCACACAGGCACACACAGAGACACACACAGAGACACACACAGAGATACACACAGAGATACACACAGAGACACACACAGAGACACACACACAGACACACACACACAGACACACACACAGACACACACACAGACACACACACAGACACACACACACACAGACACACACACACACACAGACACACACACACAGACACACACACACAGACACACACACACACACACACACACACATGTACACACACATGTACACACACACACATGTACACACATATGTACACACACACACACATGTACACACATGTACACACACATGTACACACACATGTACATGCAAGACCCCGGCCTGCTCTGGCCAAGGCCACGCGTGCGCTGGGGGCGAGACTCTTCCGCGACTAAAGACCCTCCCGGCGCTCTGGCCAAGGCCGCGCGCGCGCTAGGGGCGAGACTCTTCCGCGACTAAAGACCCTCCCGGCCTGCTCTGGCCAAGGCCGCGCGCGCTGGGGGCGAGACTCTTCCGCGACGAAAGACCCTCCCGGCCTGCTCTGGCGGAAGCCGCGCGCGCGCTGGGGGCGAGACTCTTCCGCGACTAAATCCCCTCCCGGCCTGCTCTGGCGGAAGCCGCGCGCGCGCTGGGGGCGAGACTCTTCCGCGACTAAATCCCGTCCCCGGCCTGCTCTGGCGGAAGCCGCGCGCGCGCGAGCGACTCTTCCACGACTAAATCCCCTCCCCGGCCTGCTCTGGCGGAGGTCGCGCGCGCGCTCACACAGACACACACAGACACACACAGACACACACAGACACACACAGACACACATAGACACACACACACGCACAGACACAGACAGACACACACACAGACACACACACACAGACACACACACACAGACACACACACACAGACACACACACACACAGACAGACACACACAGACACACACAGACACACACAGACAGACACACACAGACACACACAGACACACACAGACACCACAGACACACACAGACACACACAGACACACACCGACACACACAGACACACACCGACACACACCGACACACACAGACACACACAGGACACACACACAGACACACACACAGGACACACACAGACACACAGAGACACACACACGCACAGAGACACACACACGACACACACAGACACACACAGACACACACAGACACACACAGACACACACAGACACACACAGACACACACAGACACACACAGACACACACAGACACACACAGACACACAGACACACACAGACACACACAGACACACACACACACACACACACACACACACACAGACACACACACACACACACACACACACACACACACACACACACACACACACACACACACACACACACACACACACACACACACACACACACACACACACACACACACACACACACACACACACACACACACACACACACACACACACACACACACACACACACACACACACACACACACTCGCAGACACGCAGACTCGCAGACACGCAGACACACAGACACGCAGACACGCAGACACACAGACACGCAGACACAAAGACACACAAACACACAGACACGCAGACACACAGACACACAGACACACAGACACACAGACACAAAGACACACTGACACGCAGACACCCAGACACCCAGACACCCAGACACCCAGACACCCAGACACACAGACACACAGACACACAGACACACAGACACCCAGACACCCACACACACACTCACACACTCACACACTCACCCACTCACACACTCACCCACTCACGCACTCACACACTCACACACTCACACACTCACACACTCACACGCTCACACACTCACACACTCACACACTCACACACTCACACACTCACACCCACACACCCACACCCACACACCCACACACCCACACACCCACACACCCACACACACACCCACACCCACACACACCCACACCCACACCCACCCACACACACACACACACAGACACACACACACACACAGACACACACACACACGCACGCACACACACACACACACACACACACACTCACTCTCTCTCTCTCTCTCTCTCTCTCTCTCTCTCTCTCTCTCTCTACACTCGCACACCACACATGCACACATCATACACCCTACACCCACGTACGCACTCGCAGCAGCACTCACTCATTCGTTCACTCACACACTCATTTACTCCCTCACTCATTTACTCTTCTGTATTTTTGTGTTCTATACGAATGGATGATCTTCACACGTGGGGTTATCCGGTCCTTCAATTGTTGTGGACAAAAGTACTGGCATGTGCAGGGCCATTCCGCTGCCGTCGAAGGGCGATGAATCGCTTGTGCACGGAGCCAAGGAGATGCTAGGCTTTATATCTTACCTTGGGTATCAAGGGGTTGGCAGCAGAGGTGATAACGAGCCTTCCGCTGTGTCCCTTTCGAAGATGGTGTGCCAGGCTCGGACAAAGTTGGGTTTGCGCACGGTGGACAAACCATCTCAACCATACGAGCATCCCACGAATGGAGCAGCCGAGCAAGCTGTGCAAGGAATCAGGGATTTGGGGACAACAATCCAAGTCAGGAGATGAGCTTCGAAATGATGACGATTTGGTGGGATGGGCGTTCGTGCACGCCTCGATGCTGCACAATGCCTTTGCTGTTCATGCTGGTACCACCCAGTTCAACATGGCTTATCGGGGAAAACTTGCATGCTTCGGTGAGGTAGTCTTCTTCGCCCTGAATCAGAATCATGTCAGAAAAGGGAAGCCGAAGTTTGTGAAAGGCGTGTGGTTGGGGAAGACGCTGACTAATGACCTGAATGTGTGCCAATGTGTGCGGGACGGCGGGACAGCGCTGGGCATTTACTTGTCAGGAACGATCCGGAGGATGGCTCCAGATCAGCAATGGAGCAAGCACATGATCAAGGAGTTCAGCGGTAAGCCGTATAGATTCTCGCTGAGTACCTTTGGCAAAGTTGTGATTCCAGGCATCAAGGAGAAGCGGAAGCCAGAAGCGATTGAGGTGATGTCTGCGCCTTACACGTTGCCAGCTCCTGAAAAGAAGCCAGAGCCACCAGGAGATGAAGCAGGTTCGGATCCAGTGTCGTCCCCGAGACCTTCCCAGCATGCCACTTCCTCGAACAGGTCAAGTTTTCTATCAGATCTTGTTCGAACAGACAAAGATTCGAGCTCAGGAGGGGCTACGTCTCGTTCAGGACGCAGCTCTGGCCCTGCGTCTGCAGGTATGGATGGTGCTGAAGGTGATGGAAGCCGGCAGAATGAAGTGGAGGTTGAGGCCAACTGGAGGAGCTTGAACAAGTGGACGAGGCCTCCCAGGCCCATGAAGTCAAGAGATTGGTGGAAATGGGCGTGTTGGAACAAGTTGAGGCTTTGCCGTTGCCCCCAGGAGCGGAGTTGTTGAAAACTAAGCATGTCATAGACTGGCGCCTTCGTGAAGGTAAATGGCAAAGAAGGGCACGGCTGGTGTGCAAGCAGCTGAAGATCTGGGATCCAAACAGGAGTGAGGTGTATGCTCCCAGTACCAGCCCTTCATAATCAAAGCTTCTTCCAGCGCTGCTGGTATCCAGTTGCTCGTGGAAGCTTCAATCGTTCGACGTGAAGGATGCGTTCCTCACAGTGAAACAGCGTGATGAGCTTTATGTCCTTCTTGATGGAGTTCCATTTAGGGTGCTTAACCGGGTGCTTCGGTGTTTGCCAGGACAGCAAGCGGCCTCGGCATGGTGGTCAGAACAGTTGACGGAGGACTTGAAGGAGGCCGGTTTGGTTCCAGATGCGGCTTGTCCATCTGCGTTTGGAACAAAAGGACTTGGGGTGATGATGCACGTGGATGATGGACTCAATGCAGGAGAAGACTGGATCCTGGAGAAAGTCAAGGCCCTCCTCATGCAGAAGTACAAGCTTGAGGTATCAGATGTGGCATTCAATGTAGGTGAGTCAGTCAAGTCCCTTCAAGAAGGAGTTTGTGATAACTGACTTGGGTGTTGAGGTCAAGGTGAGTGGTCGGTAGTTGGAAGAGATCTGCGGCATCCTTGACATCAAGAGGCTTCGAGCTAGGAAAACTCCACGTTCAGCCGAAATCACTCAGCCTGAGTACTCGGAGGAGTGTGATGGAGAGATGGCGGTGAAGTATCGTGGAGCCATATGCGGTTTCCTTTATCTCTCACCAGACCACCCCGATTGTCAATGGACCATTGCGCACCTCGCGAGGGCGATGAGTCGTCCGACAGTGAAGATGTTCAAGCATGCAGTCCACTTAGCAGAGTATATGATGAGCACAAAGGATGCATGCCAAGTCTTTCGTTGGATGTATCCCGGAAGGTCATGTCTAGATGATCGAGTTCTTTCTCGAAGCGGGGCCAGTGTTCTTCAGGAGCAGCACAAGGGTGATGCAGATTTGATCGAGTCGGTCAGTGACTCTGACTGGGCTGGGCACTTTGACAGGGTGTCTTCATCTTGTACTGCTTCGTGAGGAAGCAAGGCGAAATCTCCTTAAGTTCATGCGAAGCCGAATTGATCGCCTGTTGCTCAACCGCGGCGGAGGCGATCTACATCAAACACATTGTCCGAACATTGAGCAGTGCCCCATCTCGCTTGCTATGTAAGCTTGACAGTTCCTGTGGTCGATCGTTGTTGCAGAAGAAAGGGTATCCAGGGTTCGTCACCTGGACACGAAGCTTTTGTGGCTCCAACGGATGGCCAACAACAAGGAAGCTGAGTTTGCACCAATCAGCACACATGTCAACACGAGCAACACAGGGACGAAGGTGCTTAGTGCAGATCGTTATCATTTCTTGATGTGCAGACTCGGCTACAAGGGTTTCGTGAGTTCCTTGGAAAGATCACAGTTATGAGCAGATTCAGTCGAAGTTCTTCGTTTGCTGATGGTGATGGATTCCATTCGGGTGGCTGCGGGCTCTAGTGTTATGGTGGAGGAGAGCGGATTTCATGGACTTCACATTGAAAGCGTCTTGAGCATCCGTCTTCCAGCGTGGGGTATGGTGGTCTTGATTGTCATGGTGATCCTTGCATTTGTGAGCGTGATCGCAACGTTTAGCAACTGGTGCAATCACAAGAAAGATCATGGGCATCAGCATGTGAGCGGAGAACATGAGCATCAGGATGAAGATGATGAGGAACACAATGACGAGGGTGATGAGGTTGGTGTGCCGTTGCCTGAACAAGAACATCCAGGAGAGCAGCCACAACAACAGCAGGATCAACAGCATCACGGGCCACTTACGTTGGAAGGGACAATTGCGGAGTTTTATCGTCGTGAGCTTAACTTGGATGGCAATCTACATCATGCAGTACATGAGCCACATGTTCGCAGTCCAGTTTGGCATGATCGGAGGGCCAATTTTTCTGATATAAGTTATTGTCCAGGGCATGGGCAAGTGTATCATGTTCCTCAATGCGGATGTTTGAAAGCATCAAGAAGAATCGCCCGGTACACGATGATTGACCATGAGAGGCTGCATCTCGCAGCATGTGGCCAATGCAATCCTGCTGTACTACCCGGCTTCAATCCCCTGTGAGAAGAAGAAGAGCAAGATTGACGCGTGGATGATCTTTTACATGTCCGTCTCAGTGAGTTGTGAGTTCTTTCATCCGTGATGGGGATAAGCGCGTAGTAGCTTTTCAGTGTGTGAAGGTGTTTGAACGCTGTGTGTCCAACTTTTCCATCTCGGAGAGATGAAGCAAAGGGATACATTCTAGATGTTGTTATGCGAGTCAGTAGCGCTCATATGGCATGTTGATTTTCGTGGAAGGGCAAAGCTCAAGTGTCCAACGCATGTGTCCGTGTGTAAATTTGTTTGAGCAGTATGGCATAGTGACCATACGACTTTTGACGACAGTCTTCGAGCAATGCTACGAAGCCTGAGGAGGGTGCTAAATGTATAATTTCTCCCAGGCACACCTTGTATTTTACATGGTTTTCTCATGCATGAACTCATGCATAACAGTTGCAACGACTGACGCTCGCAGGCACTTTTGTGGAGCTTAAAAGTTTGTCACTGTCAAGGAATGGCCCGTGAATCGGGAAGTGTCCTCTGCACTGTCCCGAATGGACTTTGGCAAAGAAGTGACGAAGATTTGGCAGCGACTGGATGAGTACGTTGCCATTGACAACCAAGACGACTGTCAGAAGACAGAAATGGATCGCAATGCGCTCGGCGACCGAATGCCGAAGCTGTGTACCGCCGAGTGGAATGACGAATGGGCTCCGATCCTGTCCCTACTGATTCCTGGGACAAGAAGTGCGGACTCTCAGGATGCCGATTTGAGCACCCGGATGAGCACTCGAATGGCCCAATGTCGAGCTTGCTACTGAGAATGAACAGCTTGGGCATCGCCACGGTGCAGAATGGCCCGAATGAGTGCATGGTGGAGACTGCCTGGTATGCAATGACCAAGACAGAGAGAATGTTCCTTACAAAAGGCAACTGGCGCATCGAATGGAAACTCCTTCCCAGTGCCTTTGAGAATGCGACTGATGAGCTGGTCAATGTCTATGACTGGATCATGCTTCCGGCGAATGTTGGCGAGAAGTTCTTCCGGACTGGCAAGATTTTTAGTTGTCACAGTTTCCATGCCGTCAGATGAATGGCAGCTTCTGCACGCTGTCAGCAAAGCGCAAAACTGTGCAATGGTACTGCCAAGAATGCTTTGACGAGAATGCAAAATGAACCCGGAGAATTATTTCAATCGTCAGTTCACTGACCACATCTCCATCCAGAATTGCTACCTGGAGAATGACGATGAGCATGTGGACCTCGCGAATGTCCCGAAGAAGTGGATCTGGACTGTGCCCGACGAGTCCTCACTGAGCAGCATGGGCATTATCCGAACGCCCTTGAATGATGACATGATGTTTCGCCCGAGTGGCAGCCCGCTTCTCTGCCTTGCGGAAATGGCGGAATGGAATCCATTGGCCACTGTGAGTCCCAATGGTCTGATCGAGTGGCGCCTGATAGGACACACAACGGTTCCGTTGAATCAGGCCAATGCGTCCGGACTGCACCACGACTGCTCTACAGGGATGAGTTGTGTGAGGATGGTGATGGTGAGCACGCGAATGCTTGGAATGGCCCTACTTCCTCGAATGCCATCCAAGAGGGCAAAGATAATGACCACTTCGAGCCTAGCGACTGCTATCGCACAAGTCGCGAATGCTTTGGTCCCTGGAGCTGAAGTTGAGCTCCGGATGAATGCGAATGCCAAGGCAAAGTGAGCCGCACTGAGTCGCATCAACTTCAGGAGCGCCCTATGGAATGCCACATGTTTTGGAATGTGAAGTCTCAGTTGAAATGTTGAATGGGCTTCTTCCGCGGATTGCAGAGAATGAAGTTCTCGGATTCAATTCTGTACAGAGCATTGCCCGACTGTGAGCACACCAACTGTACAGTGCAATGTGCCTCCAACCTCTTGCAATGTCTCGAATGACGTCTTTCCGTTCGAGCAAAAGTCCACAAATGAGAGCAATGCTTCCTTCAGTTGGTTTTCTTTCGATTGCTGGTGAATGCTGTTTTTGATTGGTTATCATTGGTTCGTTATTAGATGATCTTCGACTGAAGTCAAGATCAAGGGACTGTGTTAAATGACACGAGCACGAGCCCAATGACCCCATAATGTTCAAGACGCATTTGTAAATGCAACAATGCCGAGTGGCATTGGCTCAAGTTTCATGACTGGACGACTGCTTGACGCACAAAGGAATTCGGTGTCGACTGGGAAAGTGATTGATCTTGTTAGGTTGCTCGTAACTGATTGGATTGTATGGAAGAATTTTGCACTCTCTCTCTGTCTCTCTCGATCTCGAAAGTCAGCGCAGGGATTACATGGTGGATACAGCCCACAACCCGATGTCTTTGCTGGAGTTCGCCCCTTGGCAAGCAGGATCGGTGATCCAAGCGGGTGTAGCCGTGTAGCAAGTGTGAGTCTTGCGAGTGGTCGCGGCACGTACCATAGTTGAGCGCATGCTGTGAGTTGTGGGCCGCGTGCCTGCGGCGAGTCACGGCGCAGCCACTCTTTCTCAGTGGCAGAAACGAGTTTGGCAGCTCTGGCAGCTTCCGCTGAGGCATTGGAGGGCCCAGGTGCTCAGCTCTCACCGCGGCGGACGCTCGAACGCATCCAGGACGCGCTCAGCGTCTGCAAGGGCGGCGACACGGCGCAGTGCAGTGTGCAAGGCCAGGGTAGCATTTGCTTCACACTCTAGACTTGGCTTGTTTTGCCTTCGGCCACAGGTGCTTCGTATGACCTCTTCCAGCACCAAGGCACCGGCTGCGACAGCACGTCCTCTCATTGTCATGGTTTTTCCATAAGGCTACGATCAGTACGAGTACGTCGTCCTGAACGTGACCATGGATCTCCATGGCCAAGAATTTCTTGCAGCGGCACACTTAGTGATCGGAGTTCGACACGAGACCATGGGACCATACGAGCCTCCCTAGCTTTCCAAAGCGCTTAGAAGACGACAGGGCAACGGTGCGGAAGGCACCTAGGGATGCAGTGCTATTCAGGAAAAGAACGTCGGTGCGCCGAGCGATCGCTTGCTTTGCCTTGCAGTGAGGCCAACCGGAGCCTTTGGCAGACGTGCCCACATCGCAGCTTCATCCATGCCTCGCCACCAAACCTCACACTGGCCCGGGCCCCAGCAAGCAGAGAGCGTCTGCGGCTCAGCGGATTCACGACCCTCAGCTGGCAGAGGCGGTGGACATCGTCCGGCTGCTGAAGAACTCGCACGAAGCGCGGGGCTGCACTTCTCAGTTCCAGCTCTCTGCCTCGAATCGCGAAGTGCTGGAGCTCGCGAACAAGGAGCAGAATGACCCCCTGCGTGCTGGGCGTGCAGGTGGTGTCATAGATAATTGTTTCAGCCAGAGGATGTCTTGCCAGTGGCCTGCATGGACATTGGAAATCTGCTCGCGGATGACTCTGCGAGGCTGAGCCCAAGAGAGAGAGAGCTCAGCCACTTGAAGTCCATGATAGTTTTTTCCCGATGCCTGGCCAGGTGGTTCGAGAATGCTCACGTAACGCCGCCGACGTACCACAAGGATTCGCAGTTCTGCCAGATTAAGCAGCAGGCACTGATGCCGGAGCACTGGAAAGTGTTGCGAGGCTTAAGAAGAGAGAGTAGAAGCGTTTTTTTGAGAGACCCCAGCTTTCCGAAGACGGCTCTAAGGATGCACGCTCTCACTGGGAACTGCCGTTCCCGGGACGGGGAGAGCTCCGAGGAAAGCTCCGAGTCCGAGACCTTGGAAGGAACGAAGCCGAAGGCGAGCGCTCGCTCCCAGTGGGGAGCAGGGCGACTGAACGCCCGCGACCGAGACGACCGAGCCGAGAGTGTTTGGAGCATGAAGTCCACGAAGTCGAGCATGGGCGGCAGCGGCAGCATGGGCGGCATGGGCATGCTCTCCCGAGGGGCTCACTTGACTTTGGACGCAAAGGTGTCGGAGAGGTTCGAGGAGGCTGAGGCAGACCCTGGCCGGAGCTTCTTCGTTCAAAGCCCCCAGGCGCCGATGCGATCTGCATCGCCAGCTCTGGACTTGTCTGGAGTGACTGGAGTGGACTTCTCCGAGCGCGGCTCCAGCCTGCCGGCCCTGCCAGCGCCGAAGAAGCGGCTCTTCGGGGATGAGGCTTTCGGCGAGGCGAAAGCCCAGCTTTCGGCCCCTTCTGGCGAGGAAGAGAGCTTTGCTGGTGTAAACGCAGCACCTGCCGGTGGTCTGGGAGGCTTGTTCGGGCTTCCCTTGGAGACCAGCCAGCTGCAGCTCAGCGCGCTCAGCTCCGAGCCAGTGGTTCTCCCGCAGGCCCGGGGCCTCAACGACTACGAGGGCAGCGACAGCAGAGAGACGGAGACGGAGACGCTCGAGAAGAGAGGAGCAGGAGGAGCGCTTAAGAGCTCGGCGGGCTCTTCTCCGTCTCGAAGCGGGGGCAAGGGCAGCAAGAGCAAGGGCAGCGGCAGCCGGACGGGGGGCAAAAAGAAGGGAACTTGGAAGCAGAGCGGCGGCGGAGGCGGCCATGCCCAGGCCAATCCCAAACCTTTCGCAGACGGCGCCTCCGGCTCCGCTCAGGCCGAGGCGGAGGCTCTCCAGGCTTTTCCCAAGGTGGTGCTCCCAAGGCCCATCCCCAAGGCCGAGGCTTCCAGCGCCGCTTCGAAAGACGCGGGCGCCTCGTCTCCGAGCTTGCTGGATCACTTGGAGGGTCTTCCAACGAAGAAGCCCGGAGTCCCGGGGATGGCGGGAGTCTTCAGCGACGACCACGCGCGCCCGATCCTGCGAGCGCCTGCGCCTGCAAGGGGCAGCTGACGGCAGAGAAAGAGCAGGAGAGAGGTGGCGAGGTGGGCTGCGTGGCAGGGGCTTCGCTGGTTTTGAGATTCTTGCTTCAATGAAGCGGAATTCCGACTTCTCAGCTTCGCTCTGTGCTTCTCCAAACGGAGAAGACAAAGTGTTTGAGACAGACGCGCAAGCTTCCAAAACAGGCTTTCCCTCCGGCAGGAAGGGAGGGAGGGAGCTGCACAGCTGCGGCATGCTGCAGCCTGCAGCCAAGCGCCGCAAAAAAGGCTCAAGCGGCTCAAGGCTCAAGCGCCTGGCTCAAGCTTGGCTGGGCCCGGGCCGAGAGCGCAGGCACCGCCCCCCCTTTTCGGCAAGATGACGGAGATGGACGGGATCATCCGCGAGCATGAGGCAAAGCCCGCCTATGCCAGAGGAATCTGAGTTGCTGAGTCTATTCGGAAGGCATCGGGCTTCTGCGTCGCTGCTCAAAGCCTTAAGCGCGAGGTCTACTTTGCGACGCTCGCAGAGCAGGCGGAGCGCTACGACGAAATGGCAGAGCACATGCGAGCGGTGATTGCCCCAGAGCTTAAGCTGAGCTAATCAGCTGAGCCGCTGAGCCGATTGAGTTTTGCTCTAAACGAGTCGGAGGAAAGGCCATGTGCGCATGAAATCTCTTGGAAGGCCGCGCTCTTCGAGCAAGAGCTGGATGCAGAGGCACACCTTGTGCGCTCGTGCGCTTGTGTGCCAATGAGGGAGCCGGAGAAGACCACGGCATGCCGTAGCCGCGCGTAGCCGCGGCCCTCTTTGGTCTGTTCGCGTCAGGAGCGGAATTTGCTCGCGGTGGCCTTCAAGCAAGCGGCTCCCGACCCAGCGGTCTTCTGCCGGGGGCCGTCGTGCACGCAGAGTCCGAGGTGGGTCAGCGCCGAGTTGCTTGGCGCATCGTTTGTGCAGCCGAGCAGGAGGAACAGGCCATGTGCGCGTGAAAGAGCTGCAGCTCTGCGGCTCTCCTCCTATCTCAGTCTATTCTATCTCTGAGCCTGTCCTACCTCGGCCGTCATTTTCATTTGCTGCTGACTCCCGCGGTGCTCGGTGCTCCGGCGGTTTCGGGAGGCCAAAGGCAACCACATGACGACGGCCAGCGCTCGGGGCTATCGGAAGAAGGCGTCATTCCTTTCACCGCGAGGGAGCTAGAGATCATGCATAGGGCGTCTGGACCTCCTGCGACCTCCGGCTTCGGCCTTGCCTTTGCTCTTCTTTCTTGGGGCCTTGCAGCTTTGCAGCTGAGCCTTGATCTTCCTTGGTGCGGTTTCATCTTTTCTTACTGGGCGGGAGGGACCCTTGAGCAGCACAACAGGCTTTCAAAGCCACCTTCTGACCATTGCGGACTATTGAAACAAAAAGAGGCTACTGGAGCGTCGTACTCTCGTACTCTCATTAGAGCTCCTGATCGGGCTCTGAAGCTCGGCTGCCTTTCTTGCTGACAGCATGCCATATGTGGTGTCTACGAAAAAGAAAAGACCTCCAGCCAAAAGGCGCATCTCTCAGAGTGCAAATCCATGAAAGGCAAGACGGGCAGCCCAGCCTCGCAGAGCCGCAAGCACGAGAAGTGTTGCAGAACAACAAACCTCACTCCGCCGCTGTGCGCTGTACGCAATGACCGACCTCGCCTTCGCCTTCAGTGATGATGTGAGTCTGAGTGGGCGTCCCTCTCAGATCGAAGCGGAGCTTACCAGCCTGTGCCAGACCATCTTGGCCGCCTCCTCGGGAGAGCCGCAGTCTGGCGATGCGCGCGTTCTGCTCCTTTTTCCGAGGCCTTGCTGACCGACAAGCTGATCCCGGGTGCCACAACAGCAGAGGCGAAGGCGCAGCCACGGCGAGAGAAGAGAGCGGCGGAGGGCAGAGGGCGGAGGGCGGAGGGCGCGGCCGCGGCTGACACAAGGTGTCCTACTACAAGGCACAAGGCGACTACTACCGGTGCGCAGCGAACCCGGAGCCCTCTTGGGACACTCCTTAGTCAAGAGAGCGAGGTACATGGCTGAAATCAGCGACGACATGGACCGGACAAGAGCCACCACAGCAGCAAAAGCGGCTTACGAGGCCGTCGCCCTTTTCAAGACCACCAAAAGGGAGATCTCGTGTTGCACGGAGGATGGCACAAAGGTGGCTGAGACTTCACTGAAGGTGACTAGCCCCTTTCGCTTAGGCCTCGCGAGGGGCCCAGCCGTACGAAGGAGACAAGCTGACAAGCTGATGCGCCTTCACCTATGAGAGTCAGGCACTGAACCATGCAGTCTTCTACTACGAGGCCAGTCGTTTCTCTGTGCCGCCTGTGCCGCCTGTGCCACCTGTGCCGCACTGCTGTTTATGACTCGGCCGCATCTTTGGCCCAAGTGCCCAACCTCGGGATGGCGCAAGTCTCCGATGAGATGCAAAGCAAAGGATGGTTGACAGGAAAATGAGTGGACTCCATCGATGATCGCAGGAATCTGGTCACAGGCCGAGCGCAGCAGTGCAGCGCAGCAGTGCAGCGCAATAACGACGCTGCAGGGGATGGAAAAAAGATGTCCCAGGGTGCCAAATGCGGCATTGCCGAGGTGCCAGGGCTGAGTGGCAGAGCAGCGACTCCTTGCCCTGTTCTGGCCAGGTCGGAGACAGACTTGGAGGGCTCCGCTGTCCGCGTCTTTGTCAACTTGGATGTCACCTCTCCTGGCCCCCTCAAATCCTTCCTTCGTAAGGCCAAAGCACTTGATGTTGAAAGGGATGCCGATTTGCTGCTGCTGCGGTGAGAGACGGTGTTCAGAGGTGGGGTCGGTGGCGCTGGTGGCTGTCTTCGCCGTGCGGCGCCGCGTCCGCGGCACGCGCCTGGAGGAAGTGAAGCCCGGGCCGCCTGGGCCGCCCGGGCCGCCCGGCGCGGAGCCGAGTGGGAAAGAGGCCCCGGGCCCCGCGGGCGTTATGAAGGGCAGCAGTGCGGTGCTTTGAAACTCCACCTTTTTTTTCTTTTTACTTCTTCGCCCCGCCACAGCATCTCTAGTACAATTCGCGCAAGCATGTCAGGGTGAGTCGCATATGGCCGTGTCGGAAGTCATGATCCCGAGTTTCAACGAGAGCGAGAGCCAGAGCGAGAGCGCGAACTCGCAGCGAGAGCGAGCACACTGGTGGCAGAGAGCGAGACCAGGGCGGGGGCCGGTTCGCGGTCTTGGGTCTTCTTGGGTCTTGCTTCAAAGCAATTGTTTTAAAATAGTCAGGAGGCCGCAGCGTCGTGAGACTGGAGCCGAGGCGTGTCGCTGGCCGAGCTTCGAGGCTGCGAGACTCCGCGTGGAATGGCGTTTCTTTGCACGTCACTTCGTCTGATCGTCTGATTCCGCTCAGGCCCTGATGGGATGATGGACCTGGTGGCTCGTGGAGGGAGCGTCTTCGGGTTTCAGACGGAGACGACCTCCGAGGTCGCCGCCGACGCCCTCTTGGCGCTCCTCTACTCCAAGCACGCAGGAGCGAGGCGCGGAAGGGCGTCGCAGGGGGCGCAGAAGAGCAACTCTTTTTTGGAGTTGTTGCGCACTTCTTGTGCCGTTCCAGGAACTATTTGATTTCTTCGGCGACAGAGAGAGAGAGGCAACAGTGCTTCCGAGAGCTGCTTTGCCTCGATGAATCCAAGAAGACGATTTGGCTCTCGGGCACCGATTTGGAGCCCCAGAAGCTCTACAAAGCTCCAAAGGCAAGAGCGAGGCCGCCTACGCAGCGGCGCCGCGGCACCTACACAGTGGCGCTGAATCAGAAGGAAAAGGGAACGGAGAAGGGATTTCAGCGACCTGCAAGGACTGCAGCGCTGTGGCGGTTCGTGTCTTCGCTTCTCGGCTTCGAACGCAGGTCATGAATGCTCCAACAGAGGCTGTCCGCATCGGGCGCAAGGCGGGTCCAAGGGAATGGTGCCGCTTTTGGCTCGTGACGCTTCGGTGCAGGCTTTCGAGGATGCAGTGCGTGAGATTGACAACCTTGGCGAAGACGGTGCCAAGGAAGAGAGAGAGAGAGAGAGAGAGAACGAAAATGTACGATCCTAGCGATTTCTTTATCGTATACTTTATGGCTTTAGCCAATGCTGGGATCTACATTTGCCTTTCACCCCCCAAAATTGCCCGATAACACATCGGGTGGGCAAGATGCCCGGGGGTCCTAACCGACCCTCATGCCCGAGAGAGAGAGAGAGAGAGAGAGAGAGTCCGACCCTCCTGGCCGAGCTGAAGAAGAAGAAGAAGAAGAGAGAGAGAGAGAGAGAGAGAGAGAGAGCCCTTGGGGGCAGCAGAGAGTTGCCTCTGTTGCACCCTTGGGTGGACGTCCCTCCGGGCGGAGGCTGGCTTGAGTCCCACGACGACGCCATTGGGCTCCAGTGGCCCCGCTCGTTACTAAAGCCCGTGCTGCCATAGCTCCCCGCAAGTACATCTACCAGCTTGCGACCTTTGCGACCTCACCAACCTCGCCGAGGACCGCGACATAGTCGAGTTCGGTCCTGTACGGTGGCTGTGCGCTGTCCCTTATGCCGTTTGACAACCCTCGGTGTCTTCGTGATCCACGAACCTACGCGACCTCGTTGGAAATGGCTCCAAAACCGGGGAACGATGAGCCAGATGCTCAGGAGGCCCATTGCCTCAGATGTGCCCGGGGCCCATCATACCATGGCCCGCACAATCGGGGTGATCCCCGTTGCCTTTTACATGGATGCCTCAGCAACGACCCCACGGAGGTACGTGCATACCTTAAGCAGAAAGCTTTCGAGAAAGCCGTGGCGGAAGCAGTGCAAAAACAAGTTGCCCGACCTCACCGAGAACAAGTTCTCCCACCACCTCAGCAGGGGGAAACCCCAAAGGCCGAGATGGCACCAACGGTGCAAACAGAAGGTGCTCAACCTGAACAAGAACGAACTCCACCACCACCTCAACAGGAGAAGAACCCCGGAGCCACAACAGCACAGAGAGCTTCGTCGAGTACCTCGTCAACGGCGACTACAAGCCGCCCCCCCCTGCCCCCTCCCCCCCGCCCCTCCAAGGCGAAGAAGAAGAAGAAGGAGAAGAAGCGGCGTCGAGCAGCCAAGAACGAGGACCTCCTGCTGGAGCCTTTTCACGACGTGTTCTACGGGGACACTTCCCCCTCAGACAACGACCAGGCCAAGACGCGAGTAACTTTGAGGCCAACCCACGTTCGCGATATGGCGAGCCCGCCGGCGGAGCTGGTCCCGCCTCAACAACCAAGGTCAGCGAGCTCTACACAAGGCGAACTAAAGGGGGTGAACCCACTACTTGCTGGAGCAGCTCGAGCAGTACCATGAGAGGAGATGCCGACGGAAGCTAAGCCAGGTGTTCAGTGGCCAAAACGACAAAGGACGGCAACAACTTCGTCACATGGGGGCAACCCCAGCCCAGCCTGGAAGCCACGGACAAACAGCCAGGAAGCGATGCGGAGACGTGTGACCGACGACACCGCGGACGCCAACCTTCACCAGCCTCACGAAGAGCAGCAGTCCGAGGAAGTTGGCCCGCTTGTACCCAGCGACGCCGACTTCTACCAGCCCAACAAGGAGCCGCAGTTCGAGGAGACAGCCTCCCTTGCGCCAGAGGACGCCGATCCACCTACGCCGAGGCAGTGCTGAGGAGCCCGACAACGACGTCACCACGTGGGATCTTCCTCCGGGGAACCACCAAAGCTTGCACCCCATGGTCGACGTTTTCGATGATGGCACCGACTACGGGAACAAAGGCGACTGCAGAGATGGTGGAGAAGGTTCCACAGGGGAGATCCCCAATGAGAGCCAGGATAGAGGCGACGACGAGCACGACGACGAAGAGGAGGGGAAATGCCCCATATCGTCGGGGAGCGCAGCACCTCCAGAACCTTGTGGCGAACCTTCTCGACTTAATTTGCAGCAAAAACGCAGACTTCAGGAGCTTCTTCAACAGGGGGTAGTACAGCGGCGCAGCGACCAGGACACCGATGAGGAGCTCTGGAAACAGTACCGCGAAGCCCAAAAAAGAAGCTACAGGGAGTACCGCAAAGTCGAACGCCGGCATGGAAGGTGGCAATGAGGGCAATATAGTGAGAGCTCTGAGTGGCCTAGTTTCATGGCTGAATGGCCAGACCATTTCTCCTGTTCTGACCGCCTCAACGGGGAAAACCCCTCAATGATTCTTGGCTGCCCTTGTTCGTCCTAGATCACGGGGATGCCCTCGTTCAGGCGCAAAAGACCATTTCAGATGAGCGCTTGCAAGGTACAGTAGACTTCACACGAAGTTACAGGGGCTACCCCCTTTTGCGATGTTTGGCTTCCTTACAGAATTTTTTCTACCGCTCTCTCCTTAGCTCTTTTGTGCCATTAGTGGCACCAATCCCGACGGGCCGCTGAGCCTCCAGAAACCGCAAACCCAGCCTCCTCTTGAGGCAAATTCGAATGGCGCTCATCTTTCAGAATGTTGGTAAGGACGACCTCTTGACCTCTTCTTTCCTGATTGTGCTTCCATAACTTGAGGCCCTCACCAACATGCTTTTCTTTCTCCACAGCCCCGGCCTACAAAACCGACCTGGCATACACAAACATGAACTTCAGGCACAGGGAGAATCCCCGCATCAGCAATCTAATGGCGAGCTGGTCTTTAGTCTTCCAACATAGCTGTATGTACATGTATGGCATCTTGATTCTACAGGCTCTGCCGATTGCAGTTGCTGAGTGCTGCGAGTTCTATTTTGCACAATCGAAAGCCGGTGGTTGATAGTTGCGTTTCTTCTCCTCCGCAACAGTCGGGGGCGCACAAGCGCGCGGTGTAGGGGGTAACACCCCTGCACCATAGCCCTGGCGAAAGAAAGAAAGAGAGAGAGAGAGAGAGAAGAGAGACCTCCACGCTGACACAACGACCTGTGCTACAGCTGCGGAACAACACCTGCTGCCACCGCGTGTCGCCTGTCAGAGGAGTCCGCGCTGGTGATGCAGCTCTTGCGCGACAATATCACCCTCTGGACCGCGGCGGGCCGCGGCTGTGCCACGCGTCTCCCAGCGTCTCCGACTCATGCAACCCCGCTCACGCCACTCTGTCCTTCTCCGTCAGGACCTCGGATCCGAGTGGCTGATGCCGGCGAAAGCGAATTCAGTGCTTGCAGCCGAAACTGCCGGACCACAGACCATGGGAGACCACATTTAGGGTCCGGTGAAGTCTCTCGATGTTTGTGACCGGGAGCATTGTGGGCCTCGTGGCCATATGGGCGTTTCGGCTCGAGTCGTTGAAGCTTCCGGCATGGCTCGGGCCGCCGCACGGAAGGCGCAGGCGCACCGGCGCAGCGGCGCAGAGAAGGGCAGGCTTTTTTAGCCTCTTGAAAGCCACGGTGACGCGGGCTGAGGTGAGCGGCGCTCAGTGGAAAGTCAAGGACGAGGCCAGGCGAAGCGCTTTTGAGACGAAAGCCGAGCCGCGATCAGAGCAGCGGGGTCCAGCTGGGCCCGCTGGGCTGTGACTTAAGGCGGCTTGGGGCCTCGGCCAAACCGGCCAACCGGTGCCGTCTTCCTGGGGCAGACACCCATGCAAGGGTCCGGTTCCGGAGAACCAGTTCGCGCCTTGGTCGGCTGCCAGAAGCGCTGCGCCGCCCAAGAAGCGCCCTTTGCTTGGAGGCGGCAGCGTGTCCAGGAGGCGCTGGGCTCAGCTCCGCAGCTCCGCTTTTTTCTGCGGAGGGGTCTTGGTCTCTTTTTTTACTGTTGGTACTCAAAGCGCCTCCTCCTCCATGGGAGGATCGATGTGTGGGCCTCATAACCGAATGGCCGGCAGCATAGCGGAGAGACGGTGCAAGTCAAAAGCGCTTGAGCGGCTGCTTCCTGACCGCTAAAGCAGGCGTGGCTACATGGGTTGGATCGCGCCGATCGCACCTTTTTCCATTGACCACGACCAGGCGGTGGTCGTGCGAGTGATGGGCGGCAGAGAGCAGTGCAGCACGCTTCTGGAGGCCTCCAAGCACTGGGGCTTGATCTACGTCACCAAGCAAGACCTGGCGGCCCGCCCTGCGGGGAAAGGGGCGTTAGGCGGGCCCCCTTGGTTTCTTCTTTGCAGGTCGCATCTGGCGCCCAGCTGCCATGGATGCGGGCAGGGCGCGTCGTGGACTTTCTCGTCCGGCGGCCCTACTCGTAACTTTCGCTGCTCTGACTCTTCTCACGTCACAGGTCTACTCAGACGGGGATGGCCTGGGCGCAGAGGATGCCAGAGTGCCCAGTGGGACACCGGGGGTCGAAAAGCTGAAGCTGCAGACGACGTAGAACTAAAGAGCAGTGGGCCAGCAGTGCGGTGCATGGCTGGTCATCGGCAGGCGCACATCTTCCTCATTTTTGGGGGTCTTAGTCTTTTCCTTCGGGCACCAGAAAGGAAACCGCCTTTTGGTAGACGATAGCCGATAGCGCGTCAGTGGGCTTCTCGTCCGAACTCGGCTAGCGGCTGGCCACGGCAAGAAAGCGACTAAGAGCAGATTCTTGAAGTGCAGGGCGAAGGGGCACTGGGTAAGGATGTCCAGGCCAGCCATGTCAGGCCCAAGAAGAATGCGAGTGTACCGTCTGATGAAGACGATCGGGTAGAACACCATTTGAGGGATCTGCGGTACTTCTGACTTCTGACCTATCTGTGCTTTGGATTGAATGGGGCCGTAAACAGCGTCCCGAAAACGATACACCGACAGACCGTTGCACCCGTTGTCGGTGTATCGGCGTATGGGCCGGGCGTATTTCCCTTGTGGATCCCTTCCGGATCGGGGTATATCCGCATATGTCCCTTCCGCACGCCCGCGGCGTAAGCCTGATACACCAATACACCTCTCCGGGCCTCTGTCGGCGCAAGCCCGCATCGATCGGCGTGTGAGCGTATCGGCAAGTTTCCTTTCCGGTTCCGCGTAAGCCGGCTTAAGATGCATCGGCCTAATTTAGGGGCTGCCTCTAACAGTAATTGGCATGCTCTCTTTACGGGAGAAAGGCTTTGCAGAATGGTATGTAAATTGAACACTTATTTGGGGGCCACTCGACACTTGTTTTGGGGGCCACTCGACACTTATTTTGTGGGCAGCTCGACACTTATTTAAGGTCCAGTCGACACTTATTTTGGGGGCCACTCGACACCTATTTCGTCGCCAAATAAGTGTCGAGTGGCCCCACAATAAGTGTCGAGCTGCCCCCCAAAATAAGTGTCGAGTGGCCCCAAAATGAGTGTCGAGTGGCCCCTAAGTGTCGAGTGGCACCAAAACAAGTGTCGAGCTGCCCCACAATAAGTGTCGAGTGGCCCCCAAATCAAGTGTCGAGCTGCCCCCAAAACAAGTGTCGAGTGGCCCCAAAATAAGTGTCGAGTGGCCCCCCAAAATAAGTGCTCAGTCCCTCAGAAATAAGTGTTTAGTCTTTTCAAACATGAGTGTTCAATCCTACCCCGGATCCCTATAAAGAGTTGCTGTTAGAGGAAACGCCCAAGGCCTAATATTTCCCTTCCGTGCTCTGGGCGCTAGGCAGGGCACTGCGAGATTTCTGATTATAAAAAGGGTGCGCGCCATCGATCCAAGCCAAGGCTCCGTCCTGTCCAAGAATTCGCAAAAGACGCGGTGAGTTCCGAAGCAAGAGTTTGGTATTTCTGTTGCGGGTCCGCATATCGGCGTATCGACGTAATGTTTGCCCATTGTGCCAATGCCCTCTGATAAACCCGATAAACCCGATAGCCCGCGACAGACCCGATAAACCTGCTAAACCCGCCAAGCCTGATAAACCCGCTAAGCCCGATAAACCCGAAAAACTGAAGTAAACGATAAACCCGGCCCCACCCTTGCAGTTCAAGATCTGTCAGAGGTGACCGAAAAATCAAAGGCGCCCCAGCAGTCCACAAGATGTATAAGAGTTCTGATTCCAGACTCAGGGGCGCCCACCCTCGCAGTTCAAGATCTCTGATTTCAAAATCAGGGGCGCCTTATCAGCCCACGCCCCACCTTGGAGGTCAAGATGTACAAGAGCCCAAAATTTGAAAATCAGGGGCGCCCCATCAGCCCAAGGCCCCAGGACCCCGCCCTCGCAGTTCTTCGATCTGTGAGAGCGAAAAATCAAAAGCGCCTCATCAGTCCAAGGCCTCACACTCGGGGCTGGAAGCGGATCCCGCAAGCCGTAAGCTTCTGCCATCAACAAGAGTCACAAGACGTAACCCTGTCCAATGTTTGGGGTTTGCCTCCCTGCCCTGCCATGCCCTGCCCTTGACCGGCGTATTGGCGCATCGATGCAACGCGATGTTTTTTAGGACGCTATATTGTTACTCTTCCGGGGAATGGTACTGGGGGCAGCGGAGATTGACTTGACCAGTATCCAACCTCAAGGCCCTTGGGCGGGGTGAGGGCCCACGGTGTTCAGGTGCGGGCTCTTTCTCCGCTGCCGCAGCCTCGGGCTTTTGGCTTCGGGTCTTTGTCCGCATCCTCCACATTCCCTCGCCGAAGGCGGGTGACGTTGACCCACGCCGAGGCGGGCGCGCGCGCGCGGCGAAAGCTCGGCCAACTTTCCGCCTTTGCCTGGCAGGCACGGACGCTCTTGAAGGGCCGCCCGGAGCGGTCCGAGTGCCTTCGCACTATCACTGCATGGAGCATCATAAAGTCTTCTGAGATGCAACAGCTTTGCGAGATTCTCTTCGCAGGTACCTCACAGACTCTGAGCAGTACCCGAAGTTGATGCAGGACTTAGGTCGCCTGTTACTGTTACTGCTACTGTTACTCTTACTGTTACTGTCTGAAGGTGTCCTGGTCAGAAAATACTCCTGGCCTCTGCCCTTTGCCACCTCTGCTCGCTTGAGCTGTTCGCCTTTGCACAGCGGGACGTGAGAGTTTGAGACGTCGACGGTCAGGTTACCCTGGAGCTCTGGGGGCTCGTGGAGGCAAAAGGGGAACGGAAAGGATGTCTTAGTCTTTTTGCTTTTCGCGGTTACTGCTTTCCCGTCCTTTCAAGAAGCTTGGCCCCAGGATGTAGCAGCAGCGGCTCTTCACTACTGCAGTTCCGCAGGTCCTCGGCTTTGGGCTTGCGGCAGTGGCTTGCAGGGCAGGCTTCCGTTATTCAGGTGGGGCAGAGCACCGGCGGCTGCAACTCCTGCTGCCCGAGGACAAGATCGCTCAGGCGCGCAATTTCCGCTTAGCGCTTGGCTTGGCCTGGCCTGTGCCTTGAGTCCTTGAGGTGGAGCACCTGCCCTTCGGGAACCCGAAGGTTTCCACCCACGCGGTGGTGCAGACGCCGCCCTGTCAGCAAGAGCCGTGGCACGTTCCTGTTTTGGGGGCCGTCGCGCCGCTCTGCGAGGCCGGTGCCCTGCAGAAGCCCGCGCCCCGAAGCAGTGGAAGCGGAGCGGAAGCGGAAGCGGAGAGCATGCTGCACTCTGCGAGCCGCAGCTCCGCAGCTTTTTCTCCTCTTCTCCGCGACGCTGAGAGGTTTGGTGATGGAGTCCTCCGCCGAGGACTGCCGCAAGGCGTCACAGAGAAGAGTTAACAGATGTCGGTTCCTGCCTCCCGTGCTCTTCCGCGGTTCGGGGGAAGGCCGTGGTGGCCTTCCTGCGTGCCATGGAGGGAAGGCCCTAACCAGGCGAGGCCGCGAGGCGCAGCTGAGAGAGACGGAGAGAGAGAAGCGACGGTAGCGAGATGTAGGGACCACAACACGCGGGGAGGCCTCCGCCACGTCTCTCTGAGAGCTCGACTCGCGGCCGCCTCTGCCGTGAGTCGCAAAATGAGCAGCGGCGACTTTCGCCCCGCAGAATTCTCGGATTCGATTCTGGGATGTGCCGCGTCTCTGTGCTTTGCCGGAGCCAATTGGCCCACTTGGCCTTCACGGAAAGTCAAAGCCAACAGTGACAGATGCTCCCTTGCTACACTGCTACAGCTGGCTGCTAGCTGTTTGTGTAGGCTGTAGGCTTGCCAATAAAAGAGAGAGCCTTGCGCCATGGCTTTGGTTTATGATGAGATCGGAGCAGCCGCAGCTGGCCGCAGCGATAAAGGAATGAAGCTTAGGCCTAGGCCTAGGCTCGTTTCTTCCAGCGGAGCTTTTGATCGAAGAGTCGGAGAGTCAGAGTCGCAGCGTGAGGTACAGAAGCGGATCTCTGGCTCAGCCGCTTCCCCCACCTCCCCGTCCTCCCCGTCCCCGCCGGCGTCCGATGACCTTGACCGGAAGTTTCAACTCTTGCGCAGCGTGGGTGAGGAGTGCCGCCTGGCAGCGCAGAGGGGGGCATCTGATTGAAGTGAAACGCACAGCTGCGCTGACACACTGCTGCTGAGAGCACTGAGAGCGAAGGTCAGACTGAGCCAGAGCTGCGCGAGCTGCTTGCGCCGCTGGGTTTGGACTCACTCTGTGACACAACTCTTGCGGCTCAGCATGCGTTTCGACATTGGCAAGTGTCTCAGGAGAAAAAAGGAGTTCATCCTCTACGATGGATTCGAGCCGTCGGGGCGGATGCACATTGCACAGGGCCTGTTCAAAGCCATCAATGTGGCAAGCCTCAGAAACTGCGGGTTGCAAGCGAGAACCGCCAGCTTCACACTTCCTTCCAGCCCTTTGCAGGTGAACAAGTGTACAGAAGCCGGCGGCATTTTCAAGTTTTATGTTGCCGATTGGTTTGGCCTGATGAATGACAAGATGGGTGGAGACCTGAAGAAGATACAGGAGCGAAACACCACGAGCGGGCAGAAGGAGGTCTCTGTTTCTGTTGCCGCGGCTTTGTGACGCCAGGACACAGGCATGTACTTCGTACATGTTTGGAAATCCTGCGGCATGAAGATGGAGAATGTTCGCTTCGTCTGGACCTCGCAGTTCATCGAAGAGAATGCCACCGAGCCTCTTGGTTCTGGCGCGGAATGAGAGCGGGAGAGGGAGCATGGGAGAGTGAGAGAGAGAGTTGCTTACCAATGATCCTGCACAACTCCTCAACAGAGCATGCCAGCTGCGCAACCGAAGCAGTAGGCGTATGGCTGCAACCTCAGTGATAGGCCCTGTGGGCAATGATTCTTACGTGTTGTGATGTTTATTCTTGAAAAGTTGCGGAAAGCATGCTACTGCAACGAAGCTCCATGCCTGTGTGTTGTTGCATGACCTCTCAAGGCTTCCAGCCGACTTTGTGCTACACGCATAGGAAAAAGAGCCTTGCCCTTGCATTTCCTCTTCTGGTCATTGCACGGAAGGTTTCTACAGTGGCACCGGAGCCTGCAAAAGCTGCCCAGGGCTGCTGAGGCTGCGCATCGCTCCGCCTGCTGATTGCTGTGCTTGCGCTCCTGGTGAACTCGTTCCAACCTGTCCTTCGGCTACGTGATCATCCAGAAGTTCGCGGCAGGCGCGCGTGAACATGTTGGTGACCGTCAGGTTTGGGCCCTGGCTTGTGCGAGATGAATGATGCCAAGGATGAGGGCCAGGGCGCGTGGGCGAAAGTCCCATTATGGGACCGGGTCGCCTTTGACCTGGCGCGCCTATAGGCGCGAGATGTCCTGGTGGGCCAGTAGCCTGGACCTGGAAGCCAGCCGCAAGGACAAGCACGGGTGCTGCTGTGACAGAGCGGCATCGTGTGGCAATGGGGGAAAAATTTGCTCCCGACGAGTTGCAATACAAGAAGGCTGTCGAGCTCAAGGACCCTGAGACCGGCGAGACCTTGGTGGATGAGCCCGAGGACTTGCTACATGGTATGAATAAGTTGCTAGGTCCTGCAGGTGCTGTGGAGAAGTTGAATGGGTGGACTTTGCTTGACAAGTGCGGAAAGCTTCGGAATGCCTTCTATCTGCAGTTTAGCTTAGCAGACGTGCTGGAGAGCGTGTGGCGGACTATGCCGGCCGGTTCAGGAATTCGGTCGTGGACCATCATGCTGCAGGCGTTGGACGACTTGCGGCGCCAGTTGCTCGGCACTGCGCTCCAGGGCAATGAACAGCATGCTGTGATAGAGGCTGAATGCTCGAGGCTATTTACGGACCTGCATGTGCAAGATCCTCTGTCCGCCGGCAGGAGCGCGCCGCCGGGCAGAAGTTGACCATTCGGAAGCTTTTTGCACCTTCGAACTCGGGGTCGTCGACGGCAACTTCGACGTTTACCCGAAGAAGCTCGGGCTACCCGCCGAGCAGCGCGGCAAGTTCGGCCGGAGTACCTGGCCCCTGTCGCGGCCCCCCCTCGGCAAGTTCATGAGACCGAAGCGGCAGTGGAGGATGATGGCGAAGCAGAGGCTGAACCTCCTGCCGAGGAGGTGGATGAACAAGGCGAGCTTGGACTTGAGGAAGTTCTTCAAGCTGAGGTTGATCTGGCGGAAGAGATAGCTGCCGCGGAAGAAGAAGGTGTTGATCTCAGCCACTTTGGAGCAAAGCATCGAGGCCTCTGCTGAGGCTTTTGTGAGCATGCGGGAGGCTTACACCCGCTTAGCAGAGGTGCGAAAGGACAGGGGCTATCGCAGTCCTGGATTGGCAGCCAGCGGCCTCAAGCCCAAGGCCAAGAGTCTCCCAAAAGAAGGCGTCGGGGAAACACTTGTGCTCAAGCCTGTGGAATACACAGCCTGCTACTACGTACTGCTCGCGGATGCCGATCTCATGGCAGGCTGTCCAGGCCGTTTCAACGTGCTTGATATTATGAGAAGTCACCGCCTAGCGCAGGTGTGCAGATCAAGTGACGCCTCAGAAACATTGGGGGGCAGAATAAGCATGTGACATAGGTCAGCGATGGCGGACGTGGACACTTCGCTGAACAGCGTTACTATGCATGTCATCATGGACGCTAAGGACGTTCATGATAAAGCTAAGCAGCTGAAAGCGACGCGTCTTCTTCTGGAAGCCAGAGAAGCCTTGCCTTTGCGTGGCATGGCTTCGTGCTGTGCTACGCCGTCCGAATACACGGCCGAAATGGACATCGACAGAATTTTTTTGCGATGCCGGCACGAGAAAGATGGATCTCACCCACCTTCGTTCCATCCTGGATGCCGGGGAATGGTGTGTTACGTACAACCCGTCGTTTGTCAAACGACAAAGCCTTCCTGGACCCCGTGGCGGCAATCCTTTGCCTGGCGTGCCGGTGGATGGAAATGACCCTGTGATGGGCTACCTCTCCAAGCTCTGCGAGCAGAAGGGTTCTGGCATCATTTGGACCAGATGGGAGTCAACGTCGCCTTCGGTGCTCGCAATTACCGCACACCCGAGCCGCGCTTCACTTCCAGTACAGAACTCGCTTTGGCCAAGTTGAGCAACCACAAGGGTGTTACCAGTGGAGGCGGCTGTCGACCGATGCAGCTTACACCAGCCACCTTGCCGAATCAGCATGGCCTACTCTCGGAGAGATTTGGTGTGCTGATCACCCGTTTCAAGATCCAACCGGGCTGAGCTTCTTTTGCAGTTGTTTCCCTATCAGAGTTCCGCAGTAACATAAAGTATAGGAGATGTGGAAAGCACGCTACTGCATCGAAGCTCCATGCCTGTGTGTTGTTGCATGACCTTTCAAGGCCTATAGCCGTCTCTGTGCTACGCGCATAGGAAAAAGAGCCATTGCCTCTTCTGGTCATTGCGCGGAGGGTTTCTACAAAAGTCATTGCCCTTGCTTGGATGATGAAGTGAAGCTTTTGTGTGAGTGGGAAACGACAGGATGGTTTAGCCTCTTTCACCTTCCTTGGTAGCTTGGTGCACTCGCAACTTGAGGTATTGGACGAAGATGTTGGACATCAGTCGGGTCACCTCGTTGGTTCGCGTCAAGAGGCAGAGGAATCACGCCCCGCGTTTTGCTGGCCATATCCCCTTAATTGGAGGTGTTGCACCATTATGGGCCGCGAAGAAGGAAACCTCACTGCAGCGCAGATCCTATACCCGCTGATGCAGTGCACAGACTCTGGGATTGCAAATCCCTTCACCATTTCATTGGCCACCACGGTGTTCTCAGATGGGCTCAGTGCCAAAGCACCTCACGCGGGGCTGAATGTCACTGTAGTGCTGTGGTCCTTCATCCTTGGCTTCGAAGTGGCGTAGTGCTCGGTACTTCTGACACTAGCAACCTGAGGACATCTTCCTGCTTCGGGCCGACATCTGCCAACTGGGTTTGGACCAGCGTAAGGCGAGTCACCTGCGATATCTTCGCCCTGGGCCCTGCGGTGCATGAGGGGTTTGGCTGTATACGAGTACGGCCACAGCTTCTTGCCTGGCAAAGGTGAACATGCAGGCCCGCGAGTATTGCAGTTCCGTTGGCATCAAGCACAAGCCGATCATCCTGTCGCACCACATGATGTGGCTTTTCTAAGCTCAGAGACAAAAGAAGAGGGGAGAAGGGACCAAGGGAGGAGGTTTTGTATGCCAGGTGGGCTGAGAGAGAGAGAGAGAGAGAGAGAGAGACCCCTCGAGGATGGGCTTGAAGGCGGGACAAGCCAAGATGTCCAAAAGCGACCCGGACTCCGCGGTCTTCATGGAGGAGAGCGAGTTTCCGCACGAGACCGGGGGGGCGGCCTGGGACCTGCGTGAAGTGTAGCGTCTCTGAGGACACTCCGGAGGATGTCCGCCGGAAGATCAGCAACGCGGCCTGCCCGCGTCCGGGACCCGGCCCGACTCCGACCCGTCCGCTGGAAAGAGCCTTCAGCAAACACCTGCCTGTCTGTGCTTTTCGGCTCAGGCAAAAAGGAGCTGAGGACATCGAAGCAGAGCGAGTTAACAGGCGAGGTCGACGGGGACGGTGATGGCATGGTCCTGAACAACCCGGTGATCGACTACATCCGCTCCTTGGTTCCAGTTCACGAGTTCATGTCTTGCACATGTCTCGGTCTCGGACGCTTCCAAGCTAAGGTTACCTGGTCCTGGCCGCTTGACCGAAGCTGCAGAGCATCGGCACACAGCATTGTATGGCATTGCATGTTCTCAGCTAAGGAGAATGCCAAGGGCCGAGGGACCATCTCGGTTGATGGTCATACTTACGACGAGGAGCATGTTTCGCTTCGCCTTTCTGATTCTGAATGGTCCCAGCCTACGAAATGCCGGTGCCACAACGGTGCAGGCCGACAGCTTGGAAAGTGACTTTGTGGCAGGGAGGATTTCGGAGAAGGGCCTTAAAGAGGCCTGCATCGAGAAGCTGTGCCTAAGCTGCACGGAAGCCTAAAAAGGCCTAGGGCCTAGGGCCTGCAGGGCCCGAGACGAGGGGCCCATGGGGCCCGAGGCCGGGGCTCCTCAGGGGGGGTGTCCTGGGTCTCTGGGAGGAACGGCATCATGGAGGGCTGCCGCCAGCACTTTGCAAAGGCGCTCTGAGAGCTGCGCTCGCCACGCTCGTCTCTCGTCTCTCGCCTCTCCTGTTTTCCCCTTCGCCGCTGCGCGTCGTCAGGACAAGGAGGCCTCGGACCTGGTGGCTTTGGTGGAGCAGCACAAGCTCTCCGTCCAGAAGGAGAAGGACCAGGACCAGGCTGGGGCCCAAACGAAAGAGCGCTCCGCTCTGCTGCACAGCTCCGGCTGAGGTGCAGAAAACGCCGCTCCGCAGCCTCCGCATCGCAGAGGCCCTCCTGGGCCCTGCAGGGCCCTCTCTCTCCGCTCTCCTCTCCGCAGCTCTCTGCAGCTAAGGAAGGTGGAGAAAGCCTGGGCGTGGTCTTCGCTCCACGGCCCGGCGATCTGGGCGTCACGGCGGAGGCGGTGCTGGCGACGCTCTCGCGCTTGGTCCGGGCCAAGCAGGGCAGGCGCGGCGGGACGAGCCTGGAGATGCCGAAACCTGCGCCGAGTCGCCAAGGCATGCGAAGCTGGTGCTCTGGTGCGAGGACTGGTCCTGCATCGCCCTGGACAAGATGCAAGGCGACCTCAAGGCGCTTACGTCCGTTCACGTCCGTTCAAGCCCGTTCAAGTCCGTCAAGCTGAAAAGCACAAAGCCGCCAGATCCGGTGGACCGGTGTTACTGTGTAGGCCATTGGCGCCTACTACGGCATTCTGGCAGATGCCGTGAAAGCTTTGGCGAAGCAAGCGCAGGTCGAGTTCGAGGCTTCCTGCATGTGCCCCCCCCCCCCCCCCCGGCACCCATGCCGATGGCAAGGTTACATCCCCCTTGAAAGCGGAGGTCATAACTGACGCTGTCGGCATCTGCAGGTGAAGGTCCAGTCAGCGGAGATCCTGCGCGATCCGAACATGTACTGGAGCCTTGCCTCGAGCTCCGGAGCTAGAGCTCCGCTGCCCTCCGCTGCCCTCCAGGATCAGCGTCATCGATGCGGGGCGACGGAAGCGGAAGGGAAAGATGCGGGGCGACGAGGAGCCGGTGATCGGCCTCGAGGAGGCGCCGCCGCGAGTCCCGCCGCGAGTCTCGTGGCTCTCTCTCTCTCTCTCCGTTCTCAACGGCCGCGTTAAACTCTCCGTGTACGGCCCGGGAGGTGGCTGGGCACTTGCCCGAAGGCGAAGCCTTGACTGAGAGCGGGCAAGTCGTCGCCGCTCCGCAGCTTGCGAGTCTGTCGGACGCCGCCCGTGCGGTCGCCTCCGCTGTGCGCCGAGGCCACGCTGATGCACTTGGCGGATGTCGTGGCGCTCTGCCGGGGACAAGCAAGCGCCGCCATCTACGCGGACAGCTGCATGCACAAGGTCCACCAGCTGGCCAAGAGCTACCTGGAGGAGCCGGGAGCGCGCAGCGGCACGCAGCTGGTGCTCTCAGCGGAGCTGCCGGTGCAGGAGAGCTTCGGCGGCAGCACCTCGCACGCCGGCGAGGCGAGAGGGGGGCCGCGCACAGGCGTTCTGGCGCCTGCCAGCGCCGTCCAGTTCTCGGCAAGAATGCCAAGCTTGGACAGCCGCGTGTTTGGCTGTGGACATGCCAAAATGCCGGAGGCCACGAGCACGACAAGCGAACTCCATGATTGCACAGAGGTAGGCACATACTTCCTAAAGAAGTACTTGTAGGGATTCAATCAAAGGTGGCCCAAGGCCTGCAGAGAGCGGTCGAATCACACAGCCGCCAGAATTTCACTCAGGCTTCAGCAGAGTTCCACCTTCAGCCAGCCATTGCCGGAAGGGGCTCCAGGGCAAAGTCAGGGTGCATCAAGACTGTCACAACAGCCTCTTCAGTTAGATCCGCAATCAAGACCTCGCATAGTGTGTCGCAATTTAGGCATGGACTGACTGCCACCTGGACAACCATCGAGGTCCTGAGCATTTGAGATAATCGCAGATGGCGAACGGCCTCAGTACACTTGCATTGGGCAGCCACGGCGGTTAAGGTCTGCCACCTTGCAATTCTACAGCTTTGTCGACTGTGAATGTGTGCGTCTCTGGTTGTCATGTTTAGTTTGTGTGTGTGTGTGTGCGTGTGTGTATGTATATGGGGTTTCCGAATATTGGAGACCCTAATATAGTACCCTAAATACTAGGATCCTGATTATAAGTTATAAGGACCCCAAAGTATGGTACCCCGAATTTTCGGAAACTCCCATATGTATATATATATATATATATATATACATATGGATGAATTGATGAATCAAGTATAATGCAGATAGATCCAGAGCACACGAATTGATGATTGGATAGGTAAACCAATGCAACAGTGCATGAAGGAATGAATGCATGGATGGCTGGCTGGCTGGCTGGCTGGCTGGCTGGCTGGATGGATGGATGGATGGATGGATGGATGGACAAACGAGCGGAGTGGAGCGGAACGGAATGGATGGATGCTCGAAAGACAGAATGGACTGGAACAGATGAAGGAGGGAGGGAGGGAAGGAAGGAAGGAAGGAAGAGGTGACTCACAGAGTAACCCATCAATAACAAAAGTTTGCTTGTCATGATTGCTTTAGTGGGAAAGTCTGTTACTTGTAGTGTTTTCGTTGGAGGCGCCCGGCGTCAAGCTTGCGATGCCAACATGCCCAGAGCATCCTTGCATGGGGGTCCTTGTGTTGTCTGAGCGTTGTTGTGGGCGGCTGGACTTTTGGTAATGCTATCGCCGTACATTCGCTCTTTGTATCTTCCCGTCGCCAAGTTCTCACAGGTCTGCATCCCCAACATCGACATAGCGAAAGCACGGCCTCCCAGTTTGTCTCTGATCTTGGGCGAGGGCGAAAGCATCTGGAACAGCTGCTCGGCATATCCGCAAGAGCGGCGAACCGACCCTGGCCCTGGCCGAAGCTGCGAAGCTGAGGCAAAATGAAGAAGAGCTATTGTTTGGAAGGAGATGTGGAAAACAATCCATTAATGGACCTGCTCTGCCTTCTCCTGAAATGCGAGCTGCTCGCAGGGGCCCCAGCTGGGTCCTAAAAAGGCGTTTCCAGAGAGCTCGAGCTCTGAGCTTTGGAGGACACCGGAGCAAAGCCTTTGCTTGAAGTGCGGCAGAAAGCGGAGCACGGGGGAGCCGGGACCCGAGCCAAGCGCACGTGTCGTGGAAGGCTCTCTCTCTCTCTCTGTTAAATGACACGAGCCCAATGAATGTTCTTGATGCATTAGAGAATGCTACGATGCCGAATGGCATTGGCTCAAGGCTCAAGACTGGACCGAGGCTGGATGTCACAAAGGAATGTCTGCTTGAGTGTGACTGGGGAAAGTGATTGATCTTGGGTTACTCCCTAGGACTGTATTGTACTGTTGATTTTTTCATTGTAGCGGAGCTTCGGCTCTGGAATCAGGGACTGAGACAGAATGGAGTTTGGAATCAGAGGGATTGGCGGAGAGATCAAACTGTTCCCGCCCCCAGTGTATCATGGAGAGTTGGAGAAATGGTAAGACTGGTCGTGGCAGTTGAAGCGATATGTAGGATTGTACAAACCGCTGGCGAAACTGTTTATGGACGATGTGGAAGGATCGAATGTTTCCATCACTGACGATCTGTCTGAGGAGTTCAATGTGCAGCAGAGTCGTACCCAGAATGATCAGCTTTCACTGTTCTCTAGACAACCGGGGCATATGCTTGCCCAAATCACTGATGGCGCAGCACGAGCGATTGTGCGCAATGAGGACACAGAGAATGGGTTTGAGATTTGGAGGCGACTGCATAGTCAATTTCACTGCCGGAAAGAGCTCGCTCGACGAATCTCTTGAATGAGATCATTGGCTTCCGATTGAGAGGAGACCACTTGGAGAGTGATTTGAGTGAGTTTATCATACTGAAGAACAGACATGAGAAGACGACTGGGAGACCGCTTGACAATGACCTGCTTGTCACGTTGCTAATGCATAAGACTGTTGGTCCTTTGCAGCAGCATCTGAGGTTGAATGTTCGGAATATCAAGACGTTCAATGAAGCACTGGAAATTATCTACAGCTACATCAAGAGCAGACACCTGACTGTCCCGAGTGGTAGGAATGACCACCATGGTCCAGCAGACATGGATATAGGAGCACTGAAAGGAAGGAAAGGAATGAAGGGAAAAGGTTACAAAGGAGGAAAAGGAATGAAAGGATTCAAAGGCAAAGGATACAAGGGCAAAGGAATGTACAAAGGATACAAAGGAAAAGGAAAGAGCAAAGGAAAAGGAATGAAAGGAAAAGGACAAGGATGTTTTCTTTGTGGTGACCCAAGCCACTGGAGCAAGGAATGCCCGAAAGGAAAAGGCAAAGTGTCCGCAGTGACGGAAGATGAGCAAGGAAATGGAATGGCAAGATGACTGGAATCAGTGGAATCAGGATGACTGGTCATATGATGATGATTGGAATGGTGAGTGGATTTTTTGTGTCGATGATTGGTCTGGTCACTGGTCTCGGTACGAGGACGACTGGAGTTCTTGGCCTGAGGACTGGTCCTGGAACATTCAGGAATGGTGGAGCCCTGCGGAGAATCAGCCACAGAGCTCGAATGGTGCCGCGAGCTCAGGTTCGAATGTCCCTCAGGACGCCGCCAAGAATGAACCACCACAGAATGTGTCAGCTGTGACTGTTGACTCGTTGGGTCAGAGTGCGCCCAGAAATGCTGGAACTTTTCGGGGAACGAAAACCTGGACTGATGACGAATTTGTTCGTTGGAGCGTGCTTGTTGATTGGTGCATTGATTTCCGGAGTGCCGCCAATGTCGAACCAGAGTGTACCAACTTTGAAGAAAGTGCCTGAGAATGATCCGAATGGTTTCGACGATAGCTTGATTGAGTTCCACATGAAAGCCGGATTGGTCGACAAAGCATGGCTACTGTTTGATAGCGGAGCTTGCGCGGAGTGTTGTCCGGAATGGTTTGCGCCGGACTACCCGACGCTGCCGTTGAATGAGAGCGCACCTTCACTGCGGAGCTTGTCAGGAAAGACACTGGATGTGCAAGGCAGGAAGATTGTGCAACTTGACTGTGGTAATGGCCACTCACTGAGTGTCCAATTCTATGTGTGTGCACTGGCATACCGTTTCCACTGGTCAGTGTTGCCCGACTGTTGTTGCAAGTTTTCTGGACTGTAATGGCGAAAGATTACATGGCATTGATTGGCCCGACTGGCAATCCTGTGCCGATTGTGCGACAAGGGACGTTGGTGTAGTTGACGCCGACTGTGATCCTTACGAAGTTGCAAATGCGGCAAGATTGGCAGCAATGTGCTTGCCGGAGGTACTGTCGGGGATTGAAGCAGAACTTGGTGCCTTGGAGTTGCGTGGTGTGTCGGATGTGCATGACTGTTCGATTGACCACCTCTGCCAGATTGGTGCCTTGACTGAATCAGCTCAAGGAATGAGATCTTACGAGGGTGGGAGGCAAGACTCCCGGGAAGTGAATGAAACTGAGTTGAAGTTGATTCGTCATGTGAAGGTCTGGAGGAATGAAATGTTGGACCCTCGGGTTCAACTGGCAAATCGAATGCCGGTACCTGTGCTTCGCATGGCTGGCGAAAGATTGACGCACAAGGTTTACCGAGATGGTTCGACTGTCACTGTCAGAGATGCCAATTTCTTGACAATGACGAATACCAGGCCGCGTCATGAAAGAGATTGACGAGGACGAGTGGAATTTGGACTGACGCACAAACCACAGCGCAGGCATGCGCAAAAGAGTGCGCCACGTCCTCATGATCCAGTGGTAGGCCGAATGCCTCAATCGGCGAATGCTGTCCTTGCCGAAGTGGAGCAGAGTGAAGACAATGTTCCGAAAGTCCGAGCCAAGACTGACGAATAGCCAGAAGAATTGGATGGACAAACGCGTGTGAGTCGGAATGTTGAGGAGCGTGAGCTTGAGAATGCGTTGCGGTCACTGCCGAAACATGGAGAGAAAGTGAAGGAGTTGTTGTTGCAGCCGTTTAATCTCGAGGATCCTGAGACTGCAGCGCAGAGGACTGCAGATAGATGGATCATTCTTCCTCGATATTGGAAAAGAATGCATCATGAAGTGCGTGATTGCTGCTTCCATCCGGATGATGCCACTTCACCTGTTGATGGATTGTTGAATGATCGAATGTGGGGTGACAGGTACACAATGTTCTTGGACTCGAGTGATCCCAGAGCTTGAAAGTGCGTTGCGGTCACTGCCGAAACATGGAGAGAAAATGAAGGAGTTGTTGTTGCAGCCATTTAATCTCGAGGATCCTGAGACTGCAGCGCAGAGGACTGCAGATAGATGGATCATTCTTCCTCGATATTGGATAGTACTGTAAAGGTTTTTGCAGGAGGGGAGCGAATTCTGTCGCAATTGTTTGCTCAGTCATTCTTAGCGGCAGGGTAGTTTGCCAGCCCATGGATGGACTGGGGACAGCTGCGATCGGTTGCGTTTGAGATAGTGCGAGTGGGGATCGCTCTTGCGGGAGACCGACGGCGTGAGACTTTACCTGACCATTCCGAACAGGTGAACCACTTGCTGGCCATTACAGATAAGTGCAGGAACGATCGAGAAGATTTGATTCGCCAGGCCGGAGCAACTAAGGGAGTGCAGACGGCCTTGGACTTCTGTCACTCGCAGACGGGATTCGCGATTTGGGGTCCTCTCTGTATTCTGTGCTTGTTGATCGGCTTCGTTGCAGGTGTGATCTGTGCTTTTCTGTTGTGGATTCGGCTGCGGAGATCCGAGCATCTCACGGTTCACGCGCCAGCATCTACGCAGGAACCTGTAGTAAGGTCTTTCGCGCAGATCCCAGAAGACCATGGAGCAGTTGAACCAACCGAAGCAGTGGCTGCCGCAAGATTGCGCGCTCGTGCGCTTCGCGGATGATCCCACGCTTCTTCATGGGCGAGTTGTTCTCCGATGTTATGGGGGAAACCTATGCCGGGTGATCACGCCGGATCGCGATGTCCAGGAAACCACTCTCGAGGTTGGAAGCGTGTACACAGGTGATCCGAATGAATGGCGCGCGGTTGCCGAGAGGGATCAAAGAAGACGATACTTACCTGCCCAAGCATAGTGGGGACGGGGATTTCAGGCATGAGGAGCTTCTTCATTTCGTGCGAGTAGCTGACAGGGTGCCGTCCTCTGTGGAGGGACGAAGGCGAGTTACCGGCAAAGTTGATGGTGACGGAACCATTGGTGGAATTCACGGTGACCCGGCAGAAAAATCCAGGCCGAAAAAACCAGATGTACGAGATAAGGGCGATGATTGCTGGATCAAGGTCTACAGCTCACTCGGGACAGGCATTGGTGATCAGACTTTCCCACCAGTCGAGTCTGATTTGCTTGTCTGTGGCGGCGGATTGTTCAAGTTGTACCGCGAGGCCGGGACCGATGAGGACATCCTCGCCAAACAAGTGCAACACGAAGACCTGGGAGTGTCCATGGATGTGGCTCGCATGGGGGCCGGGGTCGAGGCAAAGAATGAGAAAGATGTTCGGGTGCTATCCGTGCTGTTCGACAGTGCAGATGAACGCTGGAGAACGATACATGAAGCAGTGCCGGAGCTGGAGGAGGTCGAGTATGAAGATTTTCCTCTTCAAGGACCTCGCACTCTCTTTCGCGATGTGCGACAATTACGTCGACTGGGCCTTGACTTCTGCCAACACCATGAAAGTTGGTTGAAAAAGAGCGGCGTTCGTGCGGGAGACCGGAGTGTCCATGAACATGCTTCCATATGCCGTGCTTTGAACTGGATGCTGTGCTACGACCAGCTTAACATATGCGGGTTAGCCAGTGCGGAGGCCTTGAATCGCAGGCGCACGCTTATCGAATTCGCCCACCAAGGCAGGCCAGAGACACCCTCATATGAAGGTGCGGAAGACATCTTGGGGGTGAGAGAGTCTGCAGACGGCTCTTTGATCGACCCGGCCATCACTCAACATGCAGCACGCCGGGCTGCATCGAAGGCGGAGGTCTTGAAGCAGCAGAGGTTGGCCGCTGAGGAGCGGCGTCACCGAATCCCACCTGATGATGGAGCTCGGCCTGGAAAGCCGCCAAAAGGAACGGGTAAGGGCGACCCCAACGCCCAGAAAACTCCCTAAGCCCGCTGAGGTGGCTGACACTTGGGGCACCGGTGTTGGCCGCGCAAGTTTTACAGGTGCCAAGCAGTTTTCCACTCAACCATTA